AATCCTTGGTGTGTATATCAAAGGAGTGTTTGCATATTTCAGGGTTGTCATTTGCTCTCTCTAGGAATTAGCTAGCCTGGGACAATCAGTCTCTCCAGGATCAAGGCCCCAAATGCCAGAGCATCAAGAATATAGAAAATAAGAAAATAAGTCAATGCTCACACATGCACGTGCATGCACAGACACCCACACTCTAGTCTATTTGATGTACGGCTCCCTTTGGTCTCCTCATTCCGTTGCTCTTCCATCTGCTTTGCTTCTCCCATTTCCTTTGCTTTTTTGAGACATAATAGTTATGTCCCCTTTCAATAATTGGAGTGGGATTTGGAGAATAAGCAGAGATTAAGCTTGTGCATTCAATCTTCCACATATAACCAGAAAACACTCCAGTGCAACATTTACTGATGCCCTGAAGCACCTCCACAGAGCCTTTGGGACTGCTAAGTCAGACACCTTCGCCAATGACCTTTTAAGATTCTAAATCACCTCACCTCTGAGTATCTCCTGTCCCCAGAAATGCACAACGACCCGAATGACATGAGGGAGGGTACCACTCTTAAAGCTTGGCCTCATTTCTGCCTAGCTCCTCCAAGTTGATTTCTCTTTGTCCTTCTCCTGCAGGCTGTGTGCCTCTGCTTACAGAGTCTGCTTGTATTCCAGGACTAGAAGTAAGCTGTCACTTTAAAAGAAAAAAAAAATGTCAAGTGACCTTCCTTAGGAACGGGTTGCTAAGCTGGTGTTTTTGCTCTGAGACTTGGCTGCAGCTTCCGGGGGAGCAGCCCAGGGGCCTCCCCAGCACTCAGCCTTTCCCTTCGGACCCTAAGATTCGACATCACGACCATCTCTCTCCACTTTGCTTCTATCCAGAAAGCAGAATCTGCAAAGCGCCTTTGTAAAGTTCCCTAAGGTAAATCAGTTCTTAACGGGACCAGGGCTGCAGCAGTGGTTTTCTGTTTTCACTTATGGGGCTTGGAATTCTGCCTCTCCCTGGGTACCCTGAAAGTGCATTTAATGCATTGTAAACTTAGAAGCTGTCATCATTATTTACACTTTAACTTTCTGGAAGGGAATGGAGAGCGTTACTTGGGCGGCTCTGATTTGAGCTGTTGTCTGGTGTCTGCTTTGCTGAAAATATAAATCTGGTTTATCACAACCTCAGAGTGGAAATCCTCTCTGATAAACACTCTGCAAAATATTTTCTGCATGTTACATTTCTGGGCCTACTAGTTCAGATTGGTTCAAGGAGAGAAGTACTAGTTACTACAAACCTTACTTTTCTTGGCATTAGACTGAGAAAGTGCTATTAACCACAGGGGTGGAGATTGCTGTGCTTTCCAAAAGACCTCAGGAAAATCTACAGACTTTAATTTAAACTGATTGTTTCCCTTCATTGCAAAGTACTATGAAAAGCTAATGAAGTCCAATAGGAAATATATGTCTGCTAACGCATTTTCATACAATCTTTTCTGCAAATAAATTCAGCGCCAGCATGAACTCTCTATTTGTCTATATATATATCCTAGAGCTTATTTATAGTCATTCGCTTCCATATTGAGCATCAACAATGCACCAGGCAATGTGCTTAAGTTTAGAATATCCAAAAATGAATTAGACGAGGTCAGAAGCTCAGAGTCTGCTGGAAGACAGACCTATAGCCAGATAATAACATTACAACGAGCTAAGTGCCATAAGAGATTTATAAAAAGGTCTAAAGCACATGGAGCACAGCAAGATTACTTCAAGGAGGGGTTTCCAGCCCTTACATCATGTGAATGCATTGGCCATATCACATAGCGCAGCTCTAATATAGTATTTGTATGTACTCTTTGAGGGCAAATATATATTGTCTAGCTGATTAAATGATTCTGTAAAGCTATTTGTCCCTAACTTCACACTAAGAGAAGCTAGAGGTGGAATAACTTATAGAATCATATAATGCATTCAAAACGGACGTACATTGCACCTCCCCAGGTTTCCCAGCTCCAGCTCAACGGGAAGGGACAGAAAAATGCTCTCAAGATGCAGAGGGAGAAAATGTTCATGGGTACAAGAGCAGGAGGTTTCAGAAGCACCGTCACTGGAAACAGAAAGGCAACTGCCCTGGGCCTGGCTGGAGGGAGCAGGGAGGGGACAGGTTATGGTCACCAAGGGTTAAAGGTGGGAACTGCAGGAGGTAATGGGGGGCTTGAGCATCACCTAAAGTCTTTCTCATCACTCTTCTCTGTCCCTCAAGGTTTTTCCTTCCTCACTCTTTTCTTCCACTTCCTTCTCTCTGGTCACCTTTTCTTAATGACAAAACCCACCAGTACTGAGAGCCTGGTCCATGCCAGGCATTTCACTACACTCATTCTATCATTTAGCCCTTACAAACTAATCACCCTTCAAGGTAGGAAGTGTGACCACAATTTTACAAACAGATGTGTCCCAGAGAGGTGAACGCATTGCTCCAGGTCACACTGCTGATACCTAGAGCTGGAACTTGAAGTCAGGTCCGTATAATTTTGACAAAGGCCTCACTCTTTCTATAAACCCATGTTTTCACTGTTCTGGAGCAGGACGTACATGCTGTATTTTTGTTTGTTTGTTATTGGTTTTGTTTTGTGGGGTTTTTGGTTTGCTTTTCTTGTTTTACGGATGGGGTTTGGTAGCTGGCTGGTATGAGGATCGAACCCTGGACCTTGGTGTTACATATTGTTTTTTTTGTTTGTTTGTTTTTTGTATTTTTCCGTGTCTGGCAACGGATCGCAACCCTCAGTGTTGCCCCCGCAGGGGGGGGGGGGGGGGGGGGATGGGATTGCAACCCTCGGTGTCGCTCCCGTGCCTCGCTCAGCCAGTGAGCGGGAACCGGTCTGTATGTGGGATCCGAACCCTCAGGCGGGAGCGCCGCTGCGCTTCCCAAGTGGCGCACTATCCAGTGCGCCACCGGGCCGGCCCTACATATTGTTTTTTTTGTTTGTTTGTCTTTTGTATTTTTCCGTGTCTGGCAACGGATCGCAACCCTCAGTGTTGCCCCCGCAGGGGGGGGGGGGGGGATGGGATTGCAACCCTCGGTGTCGCTCCCGTGCCTCGCTCAGCCAGTGAGCGGGAACCGGTCTGTATGTGGGATCCGAACCCTCAGGCGGGAGCGCCGCTGCGCTTCCCAAGTGGCGCACTATCCAGTGCGCCACCGGGCCGGCCCTACATATTGTTTTTTAAGTAGCCAAGGTTGAGATACAGAGTATGCAATGCTGCCTCTTTCCTATACCTTCATTCCTTGTTCCCTACACCCTGTAGGATTTGTCGTAGGGTCCTCTAGATATGGCTCTGATCTGCTGGTAACCCTTAGGGATAGTCCATTTGTTTAAAGGAAGGCGTCAGTACTTTACTTGAAAAATGCGTTTGGTTTTCTACACTGAGTAAAATAAATCACTGACCTGTGGCAGCCTAAGTCCTTTCTCACTAAAGAAATACTTTTCAGCTTTCAGTTGTAAATGTTTCCAGAACCATGGGCTAGCATATAATAAATGGCAAGACGGAGAGTTATAATAGAAGTATGGGTGGGGGGTGGGGTCTCTGAAATCACAGACTCTTGGGGTCAAGTTCCAAATGTGACATTTGATAACTATAACCTTGGGCAAATCATGTATCCTGTCAGAGCCTCTGCCTCCTCGTGTATAAATTGGGGCATATACTTCTAAGCTAGAAGTGTTATTGTGAGGACTAAAGAGAACACATATCTAGAAATAGCACAAAATAAGTATGCAGTAAATCATGGCTGTTTTGATGTTGCCAGCAGGAGTATATTAACTAGTGCCCAAAGCATACAATGATGACAAAGTGCATATTAAAGTTGGGCAGTATTGGTTTATCTTTTCTTAGCCACTGTTCATAAGAAAAATAAATTTTGGTGTCATTTGACTTCCTTAGAAACTCATTCAAATGTAATAATCAGGAAAAAACTAAGAGGAAAAAATCAACCCTGTTACATTTTTCATTTTCTACTTCTAGTTTTTTCTTTTATATATAATGTTCTTTTTTTTTTTAGTTATTAAAAGATTTCACAGTTCTTTTATTCCAGTTCATAATGACCAGAGTTGTTTATTAGAGAGCATTTGTGTCCTTTAGCATTCTTTTAAATTATTATTATAAGCCTCCTCGTTCACTCGAGGTTACCTTCTTGCCTCTCTCCTAGCTGCTTTCAAAATTTTCCTTCCTCTATTTTTTGTACCCTGTGAGCAGGTCTGTATGGGAGACAATAGAATTTCAGACGTTTTCTTTCTCTTTCACATGCTAATTCTCCAGTAGGGTCAGTGTATTAGTCCATTTCTGTTGCTTATAACAAAATAGCTAGAACTAGGTGATTTATAATGAAAGCAAAATCTACTGCTCACAGTTTCAGAGGCTAGGAAGTTCAAAGTCCAGGGAACACATCTGGTAAGGGTCCTGGTTGTGGCAACAGTGACCCAGGGGTATCACATGGCACAAAATGGCAGAGCATAGAGAGCCTAACCTCTCCTGTGCTCTTCTTTTAAAGCTTTCAGAACCACACCCCTGACCACCATTATTAACCCATTCACTACTGCACGGTCCTACAATCTAATCACCTCCTCAAGGCCCTGACTTTCAATTGCCATAATAGGATTTCCCAGCCTTCCAGCAGTCACAGTGGGGGCCAAGTTTCTAACACATAAAACTTGGGGGACACAATTCAAGCTTCAATGAGTTACAGGGGGACATTCATTCCACTATAGTCAGGGAAACCTTGAACCCATCAGATGAGCTGCTTAAATGACCTAGTCTCATTTAAGATTTGGATTCCATGAATATTAGGAAGGACTTATGATTTGTCAAACCGTGACTAGTATTTCTCCACAGATTCTCTCATTTAATCTTCACAGAAGCCTAAAGAGGACAATAAAGCTTTAAAGAGTCCCGGAATGTGGCCAAGGAGATACAGCCAATAAGCAGTGACTTATTCATTTGACAAATACATTTCAAGTCTCTACTGTGTGCATAGTCCTAGATTCTGGGGTTCAGCAATGAACAAAATACTGTTCCTGCCCTCTGTAACTGTATTCTAATGGGAACAGGTAGACACTAACAAGTAAGTATATGTGTTGAGTGGTGATAAGTACTATGGAAAAACAAATCATTGTAAGGTCAGTAGGGAATTTCAGGAGGGTATTGGATGGAGATTATCTTTGTGTTGTGAATGATTGAGGAAGACCTCTCTGATAAAATGGAATTTCAGCAGAGACCTGAAGGAAGTGAAAGAGAGGGAGAGCAGTGCAGAAATCTTGAAGAAAGAGAGTACGAGGCAGAGAGAACAGCAGGTGCAAAGGCCCTGAGGCAAGAGGGACCAAGTGCAAATCATGTAGGGCCTTGTAGACCTTAGAAAGGATTTTGAATTTTACTTTGTTGAGAAAGAAAAGTCATTAGAGGATTTTGAGCAGAGGAATGACATAATCTCACTTAAATTTTCAACCATTCACTCTGGCTTCAATGCAGAGAATACTGTAGGTCAGCAACGTGGGAAGCAGAGAAATCAGGAGGTTCTTGCAGTAGTGGGCATGAGAGAGCATGGTTCTTGATCAGGTGATAACAGTGGAGGTGCTTAGAAGGGGCTGGATCCCAAATATAATCTGCAGCCGAAGCTGGACTCCTGATGAACTGGCTGTGGTGTATCATGGGAGAGGGAGAGAGGAGGTAGATTGGCTGCAAGATTTCTGGCCTAGGAAAATGGATTTCTATTTACTCCAACAGAAGATCGCAGCACAAGCTGGCTTAATGGTGAAAGCAAGGAACTTCATTTGAGGCACATTAAGCCAAGTGAAGGTGTCCATCAGGCAGTTATATATTGGAGTCTGGAGTTCTGGAGAGATGTCTGCATCCAGGGTGTAAATTTGGGAAGTATCAACATATAGATGGTATTGAAAGCCAAGAGGCATAATGAGATGGCCAGGGCAATGAATAGAGCAGGACTGAGCCCTCAAATGTCAGCAAAGGAATTTGAGAAGGAGCAGCCAGTGACAAGGAGAAAAGCCACAAGAGAAAAGCCCCAGAAGCCACGTGAAGGAAGTATTTAAAAAGAAAGTGATGGTGGTTTTCATCACTAAATACCTCTGACAGGGTCAGGTAAGATGAGGACTGAGAATTGATCATTAGTTGTGGCCACACAGAGGACACTGGAGACTGGCACGAGCAGTTTTCAGGGTGTGCTGAACAGCCCCCACCCAAAAAACACAGATTGGAAAGAGAGGAAGTGTTTTGAGGGGTTTTCCTATAAAGTTTGGAAAACTGAGCAACCACTGGAAAGAGAAGGAAAGTCAAGAGAGGGCTTTTTTTAAAGGAAGGGATGAATCACAGCACTTTTGACACTGATAGAAATAAGCCAACAGAACAGGAAAAAATGATCCTCCAGGTGGAAGCGGGGAATGGTCCAGATCAAGGTCCTGGAGGAGGGAAAGGGAGGGGTCCAGGGCACAGGCAGAGGAGCAGCTAGCTGGGCACAGGGGCGAGTCACAGTAGCAGGTGGAGGTAGAGGGTTGACATGACTCAGTGAGGTGGGTGGATGGCAGGCGCGATGTGGAGCCCTCTCTCATCTCATCTCTTTGCTCAGTAAAATGAGATTTAAGGTCAAGGGCAGAGAGTCAGGAGGGGCAGGAAGCTGGAGTTTTGAGGGGAGAGGGGAAACTATGAAATATTTCTTCCAGAGCTGGATTCCAACCAGGGTCATCAAATTCCAAGAGCACACTAAAGTCATCGTCCTGGGGACAGAGGGGTCTGGCATCCTTCCTTTTCTTCTGGTGCTCACTTCCACCATGCCTGGGGTCTGCAAGTGTTCCTGGTGAATGGAAAATCTGCTCAGCTCCAGCACTTCACTAACCATCGAGGTCAGCTTCATATTTATCAAGAGTAAGAAGAACAACATTTCATTGCTTTCGAAATGCCTGACTTCTTTACTGTTCTTTGTCTGTCAGGATCCATCACAGCCAAAATGAATCCCAGGGAAGAAAAAGTAAAAATAATTACAGAGGTAAGTAGTGGCTTGGATGTCCCTCCAGATACGCTTGTGTGTGCAATCTCCTGTTACACGTGTTTGTGAATGAGGAAGTTAGGCCAGCAACGAGCATTTATTGCATGTTAAAGGAAAAATTTCAGATGAATTAAATTTAGCAGAGTTTAATTAAGCAAAGAACAATTTATGAATCAGGCAGTCTTCAGAACCAGAAGAGGTTCAGAGAGATCTGCAAGTTGGGCAGGCAGCATTTATTGGTGGAAAATGGAATAAACTGCTTTGTTTGAACATGGTCCAATTGTTGGCCACCTGTAATTGACTGAAGCTCAGCTGCTGTGATTGGCTGACATTCAGCTATTTGTTGCAACAGCACATTCCTAGTTTGGCTTTCAGTTAGTTTACCTACTGAGATAGGTTGTAGTTCCTCACATAAGGACTCAAAGTACAGAGGCATGCTCAGGCCAAATTTAGTTTAACATAACACACGCCTATTGCATGTGCACAGAGGGTGCTGTATCAGTCATGTGGCGAGGGAAGGGAGGTGGACAGTGAGAGAAATGCTGGCCTGCAGGGCACGCTGAGATCTCATCTCTACCCAAATGCTCAGAAGCCATTCGGTCAGCATTTCATGAATTCCAACACACAGCAGCTCTCAGTTACTACCTACCGCTGGGCTAGCTCTGCCTAAAGCACATTGATTTCTAAAGAAATTCAGAGTGAAGATAATGGCTGTAGATTATAACTACTAATAAAATCCTCTGTCCACGGAGTCCTGTAATTTCTGACTCATTGTGTGCAAAACTCATTAAAGCACTGCCCAGACCAGAGAAGGGTGGCCTTCTACAATTTGGAGATTGAAGACCACCCGACAGAGGAAAGGGTATTTCTCTCAATCCTTACTTTTCCCTTGGCTCCAGGGCTCACTGGCTTGAGAACTGAAATGGAGACATAGCGGTTTCCAATGTCGTGCTTCGAAAAACCTCAGGGAACTCATTATAAAAGCATGCAGATTAGGGCCGGCCCTGTGGCGCGCTCGAGAGAGTGCGGCACTGGGAGCGCAGCGACGCTCCCGCCATGGGTTCGGATCCTATATAGGAATGGGAGCTCACTGGCTGAGCGCGGTGCCGGCGACACCACACCAAGTGTTGTGATCCCCTTACCGGTCACGAAAAAGACAAAAAAAAAAAAAAAAAAAAAAAAGCATGCAGATGAACTTTAAACATGATATCAAATACTGCCAAACCAGATAAATTTACATTTGCTTATTTATTCGTGCATCAGATATGTTTTGTGCCTGTAGTCCCTGAGGATACAGCAGTGAATGAAACCCTTTGCCCTCATGGAGGTTACATTCTACCTTATCGGAAGTCCTCCTGGATAGTTTCCACTGGTCAAGGATCAAAGCATTATTGGAAAGCACAAGATGACCTACATTTCTCACGAGTTCATTGTAAGCCAACAAAAACTTAGAACTGAATTCAGAAGCAAACTTGCACATCTCAACATGATCATGATCTTGTAATCTAGCTGGTGAATCCCTGAGCTAAGAACACTCCCTACCTGTGAGGCCCCAAAGCAGGAGGCCAGAGTGAGGACGGGGCTTCTACTCAGAGGACGAGTCAGACATCCAGTCACAGGGACCGAGGAGAAGCCCAAACCCAGCCCATTCTTTGGTGGGGACCCCAGTGGCCAAAGGGGGGGTCAGGAATAGTTGTGTTGGTGCCTGGCCCAGCAACCTGCATGACATTTCTTTGAAATCTTCTATCATTAAAATCTATGCTTTGTGTTCCAACTTTGTTTCAGTATAAAGACAAAAACATTCCCAACTTTCAGAAAAAATAGTCTAATAAACTTGGTGTACCAGGGGAGGTTCTGTGTTTATCTTACAACTCTTTGTTCACCCAGAAGCGCTTAAGCACCAGTTTGTAAAACTCTAGGACTGGAAAACTTTAAAGCTTGAAAACTTTCGAGCTTTTAGTTCTAACATTTTATGGCTAAAATGTTAGAAAGTATAATGTGGAAAAGGAAAAGGAAGTTTGCTCTGTTAAAGAATTTTTCCCCTTTTCAAAAGGATCTGACAAGATTTCCTTTAAATTGAAACTTTCATGGTGATTTAACATGTATTTTCATTATTTCCTACCTGCTGGTAAAGCTGGGAAGCAAAAAACCTGGCTAGTGAAACCCCAGATATGATTCTGATGTCTCTCCTGGGCTGTGGTTCTCCATCTGCCCTGGCAGATTCACTTGTCACCTTTCTTAGACTGTGACTTTTGGGAGAGGAGAGCATGTGCCCCCAGGGCCTGGAACACAGTAAGTGCTCAATCAATACCGTATGCATGAAGGAGGACCTAGAAGAGGGGAAGCTCCAACATCATCTCGTTTATGATGTCTCAGCTTTTCCAGAACGTGTGTACTTTGAGTGCATGGTGATGGCCACTTAGATTGCATTAACTGTCCCTTCACCCACACTCAGCATTACTGGATGGAGGCCCAAGGTCAAGAGGGCAATTCTAATTTTAATACTAAAAATCGCTCCCCTCCTCCTCTCTTAACATTCTCTCCCTCTACCACTTGCATTTTAACAAAGGAATTCATTGAAAATGATGAGGATGCAGATGTGGGAAGGCGGAGGAGGGAGAACTTGAAGTCTCGAAGACAACAAAGAAAGAAACAGGTAGGAGGTGACAAGAAGCCCTGTCCATGTGTGTATTGTGTCCTTGATCAACAACCTGCCTGCACCCCAGGGGGCCACACAGAATCACCACGGGACATATTCCTCCCATGGGTACCGGCTTTCGGCCTGCTCTGGGGGACTGTGAGGCGGGGATGTGAATGGGTGGTCTGGGGAGTAAGGCTGTTGTGTGGGGCTTACAGATGAGCCATGCAATATAGCTGTGGTTCCTCCTTGGAGCACTTTTCCTACAAGTTTTCTCCCATCCCCTGAGAGAGAAGTCTGGACCTGACGGAAGGAGCCTGTTTTTAGTGTTCTCATCACAGGCCATGAACTAGGACAGGCAGTAGATGGCAGTGCAGGATTACAGATCTTGGGGAACTCCCTCTTTCTCCAACTCCAAGCCCGAATCCCGCTTCAGTCTACACTGGAAGCTGACTCCTGTCTCCCGGGCCTGGTGGTTCCTCCCCACCTCTCGCAGGAGTTCCCCGCTCAGGCTGGGAGCATCCCTGGGCAAGGTAAACCTTTTTTGAGCTAAATCAATCCCCTTGGTAAGGAGTTGTCCTCTGAGAAGGGAGGCAGGGAAGGGACTATCAGGGATGGGCGATTTGCTTGGAACAATGGAGATGCCAGCAGGGAAAGGAGGGGTAGGGAGCGCCATTTTGAGCCAGCAGTCACCAGTCACGTGCTGCGGCTCTGGAGAGGGGTGGCCAGGGAGGTGGGCAGAATGCCTGGAGAGCCAAGTCAGGGAAGAAACCAACCTCCAGCTGCCCCTTGCCCAGCACACTGCGGACAGAGCGAGCTGGGCAGAGGAGCTGCTTCTTTCTTTCCTGCAGACCAGGATAAAGCTGCCCAGGGGAGGGCCCGGGGATGGGGAGGCGCTGTCTGGCTATGTGCTGTCTGTCCAGGTTGCTCCAGCCACTTTAGGGTCATGCTGAAGCTTTAACCCCTTCCTGCTGGGTCAGCCTGTGTCTCTGCAGGCCAGGGCAGGGCACCACCGAGGCGGCAGATGAAAAGTGTTCCAGCCCTTAGCTCTAGAGTGAGCAGTGGGTGACCAGGGCTAAGGCTGTTATGGAGCTTGGGAATGAACAGGGGAAAGGGGCAGAGAAGGGAATGTAATAGATCACAATTGATGAACATTTCTGTGCCAGGTTTCAAACTTTACTGTTACCATCTCTTTCATTAAACTTGTACTATAGCCCTGATCACACACAATAAGCACAGTCTTTAGGAGCATTGCAAGAAACCTATTTAGTGTTTTTTAACCCAGGCTGCACTTCAGAATCTCCTGGGGATTTTTTCTTTTTCTTTTTTTTTAATCAGATACCTCAGGTCACCCCTGGCCATCTATTTGAATCAAAATCTCTGTGTTTTGCACAATGCCTCATACATAATAGCATCTCAGTGAATGAGTGCGCTCTCTCGCTCTCTCTCTCGCGCTCTCTCTCTCTCTCTCTCTCTCTCTCTCTCTCTCTCTCTCTCTCTCTCTCTCTCTCTCTCTCTCTCTCTCTCTCTCTCTCTCTCTCTCTCTCTCTCTCTCTCTCTCTCTCTCTCTCTCTCTCTCTCTCTCTCTCTCTCTCTCTCCATTCGTTTACTGGTGAGAAAGCAATGTGCAAGGAAGTTAAATAACTTTGCCCAAAGTCCCACACCAATCTGAGTTTGGAGGCAAGCCCTAGTCTGTCCTGCCCCGAAGGCATCATTGCCAATTCTGCTTATTTGTTTTCCTTTCCTGAGAGTTTGGGGAAGGACCAGAGGCTATTCTTGGGGGCACCCAAGGTTGGACTCAATATTTGCCTCAATTCTCCGGTGACAGTTTAGCAGCTGTTTCTGAACTGTTTCAAGTTGAGAACAAATTATTTGATTGTGATTTTACTATTTCCCTTTCCTCCAAATTTTTGCAGAGCTCTACACATTTTACCTAGAAAAAATGGAAATAATCATTTCATTTTGGATGCTTCAGTAATTTTACAAGAAATCTGTAGAAACTTGGGGTTGGCAGTGCTTCCCTGGTGGGTGCCCATTGTGACTCAGGTGATGGGGACCACAGGTATCCAGATCTGAATAGTATGAAGGCCTGTCCCCTCCTGGTGACCCACCACCTCACCCTGAGAGAGTCACTGAGTTAACTGGAGCCCTGGCTGTCTCTGAACATCTCACCTCTGTCCACAGCTGCTGACTTCTGGCCCTGAGGAAATGGTGACGGAAAAATCCCACCTTGGCAACCAGCCGGAGCCTGGGCAGGAAGAGCCCGAGACTCACCTCCTGAGTAAGACAGCCCGGCGGGGTGCTCGGAGTAAGTGTCTCTCACTTCGATTCAGCCAGTGCTTGTCAGCGACCCACTGTGAGCTCAGCACACAGCAGCATGCGGGTTTTCTTGGGTCTCACTTTTCATGCCTGGCCATGGCTGCTCCACCCCACTTTACTCCAACTCTGTGGGTAATTTTCTAGGTTAGCATCTATCTGTATGGGAGACAGGAAACATACCTTCGGGACATGTTTCCATTAACCACATTAGCTGGGAAATGTTCATTGAAATAGAAATCATGCGGATAATCAAATAGGTAGAAATTCAAAGGAGGATGACATAGTTAGAGAAGACATATATGTCAATGAAGTGGGGCTTGAATCAGATGTTGGAAGAAATGAGGGAGGTTTCTGAGGCTCTTGGTGACCTTGCCCCTTGAGGACACCTACCCTTATCCCCCGACACACTCCATTCTGTCTCCCGGGAACCTCGGCCTGTGATTCACAGCGTTTGCTCTCCCCCAGGAGAATGAACATCATTATCTGCTCAGTGCAGGGAAAGCCATCACCCCTCACTTGTTGCTTTTCATGAAAAGGAGATTAGACAAGAAAAGAAGTGTGTCACACTTTTCAAATGTTACATAATTGTTACACTGCTTCCTTCCCTGTGGCAGAACTAGGGAATAAAGTAACTATTGGAAATTAGAGGGCTTTGGAAGCAAGCTGATTCTTAGATTGGAAAAATGTGTTTCTGATCTAAGAGCAATGATACGGTGAGAACTGTGATGAATTAGTAAAAACAGAACCAAACTGATCCCATATAGTTGTTTCTTTTTCTAAATGCTCAAAATTATTCATTATTGACAATTTCAACTTGTCTTAGTCAGCTAGGGTTGCCATAACAAACTTTTATAGACACGCAGGCTTCAACAGCAGAAGTTAATTTTCTTGCAGTTCTGGAGGCTGGATGGTGGAGACCAGGGTGCCAGCAGGGTCGGTTTCCAGCCAGGCCCTTCTCCCCGGCCTGCAGGTGGCCGCCTTCTTGCTGTGTGCTCACCACATCTTTTATTTGTGCATGTGTGGAGGGGGTGGCTCTGGTGTCTCTTCATAAAGACACTAATCCTATCGTGTAAGGGCCCCACCCTTATGACTTCATTTGACCTTAATTATCTTAATTAATAGGCCCTATCTCCGAATACAGTCACATTGGAGGTCAGGGCTTCAACATGTGAATTTGAGAGAAGTACACAATTCAGTTTGGGGCACAACTATTGCATATTTAAGTAGTTCCTTTTAAATCAAGGGGGAAAATGTCAGAGAAGATGGCCAGTAGTAAAGGCTCTGTGGCATTAAAAAGTGGATTATTTCCTTATCTCTAAAATACTGTCCACTATGATCATGGGGGTGATTATGAGAATCAAATCAAAAAGCAGATGTGGAAATATTTTAAATATTATAGAGGATTAGATAAATGCACAGTAACTAAGGTATCTGAGAGTGAGATAAGACATTTAATCTATGCATTAGTAAAAAAAAGAAAATCACTATTTCTGATTTGGAGAATGGGGAGTTATGGTCTTAATATAAAGCTAAGACCTGCCTGCTTGAACAAGGTCATGAGCATTCAGTACCTGGGCAGCCCTGGGTAGAACTAAAAGCTGTTGCTGATTTGGAAGTACTGACAAACCAAGATATAGAAAAAAAAAAAAAAAAAAAGCCTAGGAGAGAGTGGAGGAACACCTGATGGACAAGAAGCTTGTGTGGCCTGGCCTCAGTCAGGAATGAGAAGTCTAAACCAGCAGGAAGTCATCCTCATAGTCAAGACAGCAGAACAGGCCTCATTCATTCTATCAATGCACATTGGAGCAGGAGATAGACAAGCAACTAGGAACAACAGTGCTGTGAGAAACATGGCAAAGAGTGTGGACCTGGATAGGCAGATCAGGGTGGCAGGGGAGGTGACAGAGGAGCTGAGCTGTGGCCTTGTGATGGAGAGAGTGTTGGGCAAAGAGGGTTCCAAACAGAGGACTTAGAAACACACATGTGTGTATGCACAGAAAACACTTAGTGGGTCAAAGGCAAGGTGGAAGTAGTGATGTCTTGGAAATCGCACAGCACTGCTATTAGTCAGAAGCATGTCTCTAAATCTGGCCCACATTCAAGGAGAGAGAAAGTAGGCTCCACTTGCTGAAGGGAGGAATGTCAAAGAATTTATGGACATATTTTAAAACCACCACATTAATCTTTCTTTAAAATTCCTCCTGATCTTACTTTTCTACTCAGAAATCTATAATAAGCATCATTAAAAATCCATACTCTTACTTTTTCTGGGTCAGAGACCCTATGCAATTTGTCTCCTTCCAGTTGTATTTTCCAGTCTGCTCTAACCTGCCCCACTCGGGTTGCCTCCTTATTGGCCTCTGAATGCCTCACGAACATCTGAGCATTCCCTGGGCTTCGGTTCCCACCTAAAGAAAGTTCTCCACCTGATTCTTTATCAGTTGTGACTGAAAGGCAGTTGGGTTGTAGCAGTTAAGCCCATGGGCTTGGGCATCACACAAATTGTGTGGCAGTCTCTACCTGTCTTACTCACTTGGGCAAGTTCCCCAAACTTCCCAAATTATGGGTATTTTTATTTGTAAAATGGTGGTGAGAATAGAATGCCTTAAAACATCCAGAGTTTAGTTGGGGAGGAGAGGAGAAAAGAGGAAACCAGTGAAATAAATGTGATAAATGTGCAGTAGAGCAGGTGGTGAGAAGGGCTATAGGGAAAGACAAGTGGACGGGACTCCACTGGGAGTGAGAGGAAGGGCTGCTGTTTGTGAAAGGAAATGGGAGCTCCCCAAGAGGAGACTTCCCAAGCAGTGGCCTTAAAGCAAGAGTGTGCTTGGTGTGTTTAAGGAATGGTCAGGAGGACAGGGTGTTGAAAGAGAGTGAACAAGGAGGAAAGAAAATAAGACCAGAAGGCAGGAGGGGAATTGTACCGAGCCTTGTGGGCCCTTAGACTCTTTATCTGAGTGAGATGAGAGTAGTTGGGGGGTTTGAGGGGAGTAGTTGGAGGATATGATCAGACTTAGGCTGAAGGCTGCTGTGCCAGGACTTAGGAAAGAGCAAGGGCAGGAGCACAGAGACTGGTGGAGGCCAACAGCAAAAGTCCGGGTGGGAGACAGTGGGGAACGGGACCGTGGTGGGAGTGGGAGGGGTGGAAAGCAGTGATGGGAATCTGGGAATCTGGAAGGTAGAGCCAACACGGTTTATTTCTGGACAGAACAAGAACTGTAAAAGTAGAAAGGATGTCTCTATGGGTTTTGACTTGAGCAACTGGGAAAATGGAGTTGCCATTTAGTAAAAGGAGAAAGATGGAGAAAGGACAGGTTTAGGGGTAGAAATCAGGAGTAGGCATGCAAAGTTTGAAATGCCTGTCAGCTATCAAAGCGGACATGGATATGTAGATATAGAGATCTGGTGGTCACCTCAGGGAGAGGTGGAGGCTGGAGAGGGCTTCCTTGACCGTCTGTTTAGAATAGCCCTTTCCCACCCGGTTACCTGGACTCATTCCTCCCACCTGTTTCTATTTTCCTTCAGCACACATGGCCTCCTGGAACACTCTACTCAGCCAATTTTGTGCTGACTGTCTGCTCCCATAGAACAGAAGCTCCCTGAGAGCAGGAGTTTGTCTGTTGTTCACTGCTGATTCCCCAATGCGTAGCGCAATACTTGGGGCTCAGTAAGCATTTGTTGAGCAACTCTGCCCTGGATATAACAGCAGATGCTCCAGACAGGGTCCTGCCCTCACAGGCTTTGTAGTCACAGTGAAACTGGAGGGGCCAAGTGATAAGACAGTACCCATTACCCTACCCACCATGTCCTTGCTCGGCTAGGCTATAAGAACACTGACTGGGGAACATTGTTCAATAGTGAGTTCAAGAAGCCTGGCTGCTTTATGGACAAAGGAATTTTCATCATGCAGGCACATGTTATGCCTGGCATCCAGCCCCTTTTTTCTCCAAGTGAAATGGAAAACACAGCATTATTTCCTCTGCTCATAACTCTTCAGCCCATCTATAGAGGTTTTGCATGTGTGGTTATCAAAATAGCTTTTGATAGTCTCAAAATAAATGTCACTGAGGCAAGTGCCAAGTCTTTATATCCTAAACTCTTTAAGATCCTTAATACCCTTAGAGACCTCTTAGGTTTAATTATGAAAATTCAAATGCCCAGAAGTAGACTAAAGTCCAGTGAATCACACATGCCCATCACCAGATTCAACAGTTAATAAAATTTTGACACATTTGCTTCATCTGCCTTTTCTCTCTCTCTCTCTCTCTCTCTCTCTCTCTCTCTCTCTCTCTCTCTCATCTTTGCCAGATTTTTTTAATTGTTGTTAAAAAAAAAAAAGGCATAAGAAAATTTACCACCTTAACCTTTTTAAGTGAATTTAGTAGAATTAACTGTATTCACATTATTGTGCAACTGATGTCCAGAACTTTTTCATCTTGCAAAACTCAAACTCTGTACCCATTAAACACCAACCCCTCATTTCCCCCTCCCCACAGCCCTCAGCAACCACGATTCTTTCTGTTTTTATGAATTTGACTGCTTTAGATACCTCATAGAAGCGGAATCATACAGTATTTGTCTTTTTGTGACCAGCTAACTTCGATTAGCATAATGTCCCAAGATTCATCTGTATGGTAGTATGTAACATGATTTCTTTCCTTCTTAAGGCTGAATAATATCCCATTGTATGTAAATACTACATTTTGTTTATCCATTCATCCATCCATAGACATTTGGGTTGCTTTCACCTCTTAGCTATTGCAAATAATGCTCCTATGCACATGGGTGTGCAAATATATCTTCAAGTCCCTGCTCTCGGTCCTTTTGGATATATAACCAGAAGTGGGATTGCTGGATCTAACAATTTTATTTTTATTTAGGCAATTCTATTTTTAATTTTTTGAGGAACCACCATACTATTTTTTATAGCAGCAGTACCGTTTTACTACTAACTATGCACAAAGGTTCCAGTTTCTCCATATCCACGGC